TCACTTTGAGGAGACCTGAGGTACATTGTTCCGTATCCCTTCCATGACAAATTGTTGCCCTGGCAAGTAAGCTAAGGTGGGAATAGACTTCCAAAATTATTTTAATCCAGCCAGGACGTAGTGTCCTCCCTCTCCCAAATATGTATTGACTTGTCAGTTACTTTTGGGAAAGGAGACATGATTTTCCAATTAAAAGATTGGAAAATCCTGCTGGTAGAGTCGTAATTTATCTAAAAAGCTGAAAACTGAATATTAATTTTAACTTATTTTGGTCAGAATCTATTCAATGGGGTATGATCTTTGAATTAAGAAGATCCCATATGATTTTAATTTTCTTCTTTATACTTAACTATTTTCTTGATGTTCTATAATGAACATATATTATTTTTATATTCTGAAAAAGGTGAGTTTTCTAAATTATAGCATCCCAGTAAACCCTATAGAAAAATATATAAAACATTCAGAATCTCATCCCCTAGAGATCATTGCTGTTAACATTTTACTGTATTTGCTTCCAGTTTTTTCAATGCACATGTAAAATATATTTATAAATATTATATTTTAAAAAACAAGTTCCAGTACATGGGAATACAACTTTATAAAATTCATACAGATTGGAGGGTATTATTTACAATCAAAAGGATTATCTACAGGGGCGCCTGCCTGGCTCAGTCAGAAGAGCATGCTACTCTCAATCTCAGGGTGGTGAGTTTGAGCCCCACATTGGATGTAGAGATTACCTAAGGAAAAAAAAAAAAGGACTATTTACAGTTTCATTATTAAGCTCCCCTGTTATACTTAAAGAAATTCAATTCCTAAGAATTCATTTTATTTGGGGGCGCCTGGGTGGCTCAGTCGGTTGAGCATCCGACTTTGGCTTAGGTCACGATCTCGCGGTCCGTGAGTTCGAGCCTCACTTCGGGCTCTGGGCTGATGGCTCGGAGCCCGGAGCCTGCTTCCGATTCTGTGTCTCCCTCTCTCTCTGCCCCTCCCCCGTTCATGCTCTGTCTCTCTCTGTCTCAAAAATAAATAAAAAACGTTAAAAAAAAATAAAAAAAAAAAGAATTCATTTTATTTGTTTTTTTCTTTTCTTTCTTTCTTTTTTTTTTTTTTAATAACTTCTCTTGAACTTGAAGCCAGGTATATTGCACATTTGAGCCAAGGTTCTGTCAGAAATCCATGTTTTTGCGGCATTGCGCTTTGTGGGCACTTGAGGAATGCTCACTGAATAAACTTGTCAGGCATTTACTGAAACTGCATATTGACCTTCTGGTTCCATTTCTGACAAGCTACAACAAAATGATTGTCT